TTATGTGGAATTTATGTTCCTTTGATTTTCAGTGTAAACATTTCCCTCTGGTGTTGTTAGTTCAGCATCCTAACTGTTTAGCTGTCCTTTGTAGGTGGGGTCAGCTTGAAGTGGAAGATAACAGGTGTCTGGGAGTTTCTCCTATAAAATTGATCTCTCTTAGAATTCATTGTTGTGCTGCTAGCCATGGTCAAAGTTTATTGTAATTTCACCATAGAAACTTGATTTTCAGTGTAAACATTTCCCTCTGGTGTTGTTAGTTCAGCATCCTAACTGTTTAGCTGTCCTTTGTAGGTGGGGTCAGCTTGAAGTGGAAGATAACAGGTGTCTGGGAGTTTCTCCTATAAAATTGATCTCTCTTAGAATTCATTGTTGTGCTGCTAGCCATGGTCAAAGTTTATTGTAATTTCACCATAGAAACAAAGTGGCCTGGTGAATTCAGAAATGGACCAGGGTCATTATGATTGATCCAAAGGCAGCTGCAATAAGACACAAGCCTGGTAAACACGAGCAAGATAAATGGTTGAAAGAAGGATTTTAAAAATGCAACCGTCTTGTCTTACAAGTAGGGCAAATTTCTATAATATCCCATATGGGTGTGTTGGTTCTAGCAGCAGAAAGAAGTTCATACAGATTCAGAAATTCACTTACACAGTAAGCTTGAACGGTATTTCTTGTCGCTTTCCATTAGTATCTTAAAATACTCCAAGGTCTTCCCAAGGCTGAGAGCATGCAGGCTTTCCAAAACAGGAAGACAAAATGGTATCAGAAGTCCTCTGTTGTTTCATTTATCTCGTGTTTATTTATTTATTTATTCTGGGGAGAGGCAGGTGGGTTAAGTTACTGATTTCTGCCAGAAACTTCCATTTTGATACATTTTCAGGAGGAAGACATGTTATTAATAGTATGGCATGTATAAAACCCCACCTAAGATTTAGGACCTCGTTGTGCCAGGCAAAAAATCATTCTCATTATTTCCATGATGATGGCTCAGGCATTGAATAATGAAATGATATTGCCCATACCAGGACATTCTTTTTGTTCTAGCTTCATATGAATAGACATGTTTGTTCAGAGACCTTCATGACTGATGTTACAGTGGGTGTGTAGGGACTTCGTTGAAAAATTAAAGTGTCAAAGACATTAATGGGAGGAGGATTTTCTGTCTGTAAAATTGATGTGGGCTTTTGAGCCTCATCACTTTCTTCTAATGGAGTTTTCTTTCTCCCTATGAGGGCTCTAAATATATGTCCATGATCTCTTGTTCAGAGTTGTTAATATGTGTGAAAATAGGCTGTAGGTGGGATAGTCTTTAAGACACAGGTTATCTGTCCTTATTCATGTGGGCTGAAGCTAATAATGCTTTCTTTAAAACAAACAAGCAAACAAATCAAACCAAACCAAACAAAAAATCACAAAAATCATACACCCACTACACCCCAAGCACCAAAAAATTATGCCCTTTGCTTCTGCTCTCAAGTGTTGCTATCACTGTTGAAATTAGATGTTGGAATCTAATGAAAGTTAATATATATCCAGCTGAAGATGTATAACCTGAAGTTGCTTCTTGAGAATGTTAAGCAGGATGTCAGTTCATTGCTGCTTTATGGAAGCTCTTGTGCAGAACCAACCCTGTGATTTTGTATCTGATGTATACCTCCAAGGAACTGAAACAGTGAAACACTGAAACAGGTTTCCCAGTGAAGTGGTAGATGCCCCATCCCTAGAAACATTCCAGGTCAGGTTAGATGGGGCTCTGAGTGACCTGGTTTAGTGCAGGTGTCCCTGTTCATTGCAGGGGAGCTGGACTAAATGACCTTTAAAGGTCCCTTCCAACTCAAACTGTTCTATAAACTATATATGCCCACTAATTGCTTTCAAGTTTTGTGGTCAATTTTTTTTTGTTTGGGAAGTTCTGTTTGTTTGTTTGTTTGTTAGTTTTATTTTCCTTGCTGATGACAGGGCAGATTTTACAACATTCTAGTATAGCTTTTTTCATAACAGTAAAGACATTGTATGAAAAGAAGAATCTTCAAAAGTGTTTTGAAATATGTCTGGTCTTCAAGGTAAATCAGAGCTGTAGCATAAAACATTTCAGTGTTACTATCACATAGAAATTGTGATTGCTTGCAGTTTTTTTAGAATAAGGAGTTTAGCTGGATCTCCTCCCAAATGAACACAGATTTGCCTATTCAAATATGTTGTATGTTTATTCAGACATGAGGTAAAACTAACCATGTTATTCAACGAACATTAATTCCTATATGAATGTTTGCTATCCAAACATGCCTTTGCCCACACAAGATACAAGTGTAAAATTAGGCCTTATGTCTGTCTTCACCTTAGTCATTGCTGTGGATCCCAATTGGTTATCAAAGTCGCATCACCTTGAGTTTATCACATTCACACTGTGAAGAACTGAGAAGGAAAAGCAAATTCCAAAGCAAAGAGCAACTTTGCAAGAACGTTTTGGAAATGTTTTCATAGAATCATCAAGGTTGGAAGAGACCTATAACATCATGCAGTCCAACCATCCTCTTAGCACTACTAAACCATATGGCCAAGTGCCAATTCAGATACCTCTTAAACACCTCCAGGGACAGTGACTCTACCACCTCCCTGGGCAACCTATTCCAGTGCCTGACAAGCCTAACAGTGAAAACCTTTTCCTAATATCTAACCTGAATCTCCCCTGTCTCAGTTGAAGGGCATTTACTCTAGTCCTCTCACTGCAGGCATTGCAGAACAGACCATCCCCCACCTCTTTACAACCCCCTTTCAGGTAGTTGTAGAGAATGATGAGTTCCCCCCTGAGCCTCCTCTAGGCTAACTAAACAAACTTAGTTTAGTTTAAGCTAAGTTAAGACTAAACAAACCCAGCTCGCTCAGCTGTTCCTCATAAGACATTTTTTCTAGACCTCTCATGAGCCTTGTTGCCCTTCTCTGGACATGCTCCAGCATCTTATTTTTAAAGTGAGGGGCCTGAACTGAACACAGTACTCGAGGTGTAGCCCCACCAGTGCCAAGGACAGGGGGCCAATCACTTCCCCAGTTCTGCTGGCTTGATACAGACCAAGATGCCACTGGGGTCTGCACCCTGATTTGTCTTCAGTTTCTAGTCCAGTGTCTTCTCATCAGCAGCTGGTACTTTGTCCTTACAGCACACAGCCCTTGCACTGCACAGGATTTCCGAAGAAGCTAGGACTGAGGACCATGATGGGGCACAGGGCTCAGTCAGGCAAACATGCTGACCAGCCCCAATTTGTATGCAACTGGCCCCTTCTATAACCCTTTCTGCTTCTTCCCCTGTTTACAACTTGTCATCCTCCTTCACCTTCATGTTCCCTCATCAACTGGTGTAGTTCCATACATCCTGCTCCAACACCTGGACCCTCAGCTTTGCATGCTTACCAGTTGCAAATTCCTGGTGTGCCCATCGTTTCTTGACAGCCTCTCACTGGGTGTTCCTGACCAGGTGTATTTTTTGACTGTTATGTTTGTCTTCAGGTTTGTGTCTCTATTTTGTTTATAGCTTCTCTTTTTTCTTTATAATCCCATTTGACAAAGTCCTCCGTCAGATAATCTCCATCGGAGAAACATTCCCATATTCTCATGCTCTTATCAATAAGTGGGACTGAGCAGGTTTGGTTCTTGTAACTGCTTCCCTCATCGTTTGATGGTTAGCATCGTGTCCTTACCTCTTCCTTGCATCTTCTTCCTCTTCCTATTATCCACTTTGCACTTCGTCCAGACACCCTGAAGGAGCAGATGCTATCATCTTCCACATAACCTTGCAAGTGTTCATCAGAAGTTTTGTGTATGCTAATTTTCCTTCAATAAAATTAGAAAGCAGCAAAGAAATGTAAGCTTTTCTGGGTAAAAATCCAGAGTTAAATATGCAGGTATGCATAATTCTGTTGTTGCTGAATTTATGAGATTACAATGTTATTGCAAGTGCCGTGGTGACGTCCAGAGCTACTAAGAAAATATCTGAATTAATAAGAAAAAGGAGGCTTTGATTTATAAAACGTAGTTAACAGCCTGTGCAGTGTCAAGGGCACATAATGGTTATGAATCAAAGGAGAAGATGAGTCACCTTGACATTATCAGGTTTAGACATCTTGTGGAGAACCTCCTCTGATGTTTTTTGACCTTTTCAGTTTCATTTAATTGTACTATATATGACATTGGTGGTGTAGAAATAAATACGACTTGCATCAGTGGTTGTTATAGAGACAAGACAGGTAAAATGAGAAAACATGTGTTTTCTTTCTGCTGTGCAGACTGCTCCTTTAGAAAAAGCAACAGATGTTGTAGCCTCTTAAAATTAACTTGTGATGACCCTTTTTTTTTGCTGATAATTACAAGTTTTTGTTAATTGCTGTATTTGAAGGCTGTATTTGAAATATTTGATTTAAAATATTTATTTCTTCAGTGATAGATGAATGGGATGCTTTGTATATAAGCTTTGTTATCCTGATTTAGTTAGTTATTGTGGAAGAATATGCATGGAATAATTTCATATGCTACTTTTCATCATTATTAGTGAGGGGAAGAGTTTTTGCAAAGGCATTTAAATAAAATCCTGCCAAATCTGGACATCTCTATAAATTTTTGACAAGCTGAATTTTGCATTTAAAATTGTAAGGAATTATAGATGAGCTCATCTAATGGACATGTTGTTGCAGAATGGTTTAGTTCTAATAAGAAATTACTTAATTTGTGTAATTTTATGTTACATTTAATTTCCCTAAGTGGATGAAACCATTAGGG